GCAAAGCTGTATTCTCTTTCAACTTGATATTATCACTATTTAATTACAGTAACTACACACACACAACTGAACTCATAAATAATATTTTTTGTGGTAAATCACTTATATCTAACAAATGATGTCCTTACAAACAAACTTAGCACTATAACTGAATATACACAAGTTAAATGTACAAGGTCTGTAACAACAAATATACATTTTTACATATAAAAAAGTCAATTTAAATTGCACTGTGTTCTTCCCGGCTCGCACATCCATCCCCGCCCCCCTACCCCCACTCAGCTGCTCAGTAATTGTCATTGTCCTTCTTGCTTAAATTTCTTGATGGTGTTTTTCAGGGCCTGTCTTTTGTTGCAAAACCAAACGCGAATGACTTCTCTGTCGTAGTTCAACCTCTCTGACAGTTCTGTCATTTCTGTGCCTGCCAGCAAAGAGAAGAGATGTTCTTGTTAGCAATATACACAAGAAATAACAGTTGTACTGCAGATTGATTAAAAAGTTAGTTGCGTATCCTTTACAGGACCTTTCAGAACAAACCCTGGCATTTTTTTGGCTGTTGTGGTTTTTCTAGGCAGATTTTACATTTAGTAGTTTGCCATTGCTTTCTTAATGGTCAGCTCTCAGTACCACTGTCAAAACCGACACAAGATAAATCGTCTGCAGCTGGGATCGAACTCGGCACCCCAGCATTACGAAGCGCACTTGCAACACCTAAGTCACAGATGCCGACAAGACTGATTAGTGGAGAATGCACTTTGAGATAATGGAACATGTGATAGGTCTTGTCTTTTTTAAGATGGCGGCATGGCCAGTCGTTTACCACTACAAATTGATTTTTTTTTTTACTAGAATGTAGTGATTTTCTGTGGTTTTGCTGTCTGCAGGATCCTCGCCAATAATAAGGAGCTACATGCATTGCTTTGTAAGCCAGCATACCGCGATCGAAACCCACTGCTGGCTGCGTGGATTTTTGTCGTGGTATGGGACATCGCAGGTCGACCCAGCCTAAAATGGGTACCAGGATGGGCTGTCCTGGGAAAGTTAAGACAGCCGGCGTAATGCTGACCACATTACCCACAGAGTGCTGATGGTCTGTAAAAATATGGGACGCTCTGCCCATATGCCCGATGCGCCGAAAGGCGTGAAAAGGGAACTTTACTTTTTTTTTACATGCATTGCGCTGAGAACCTCCTGTGTAAGCACCAAATGTAATGTTTTTAATTTTTGTTTGGTTATGGCAGTAAGACTTCACACAAAATCTGCTCTGGCTTATGCCGGAAATACATCGAGAGCCACCCGTCGTTACATCAGCAAGAACAGAATATGAGTTAGCCTAATATCACTTGGAGACATACTCAGGAGGAGATTAGAGCACTTATTGTCATGTCCGCTGAGATGAAGATGAACTTTAAAATGAACAGTGAACAAAAAGCTGTAATGTAGTAAAGTATACACCCTAACACACTGTGGAATATACTATGACACAGTGCAAAATGTACTGAAACAAAGTGCAGGATGTACTGTAACAGTGGGGATATCACTGTAACATATTGCAGAATGTACTGTAAAAGTGGAGAAATTACTGTAGCATATTGCAGAATGTACTAAAATATACTGAATGGGCTCCAGGCTTTGTGATTCTTTCTAGATCATAGTGTCAGCCGAGCTATAACCACTGACCCTTTGATTCGCCTGTTTGAGTTAGTGCTCACTCTAAACTCTTTCGAGTTTAATGGCCACTGATTCAACCAGATCAGCGACGTCGCTATGGGCACCAAGATGGGGCCTAGTTTTGCCAGCTCTTCATTGGCCACCTCGGGCATCAGATACGTCATGCTTATACCGGTAGGCTCCCTGAGCTCTTAAGATGTATATCGATGACTGCATCAGTGTTACCAATCTGCCCCTACCTGTATTGCAAAACTTCATTTATTTCTAACTTCCATCCCATTTGCACTTTCAGCATTTCACCTTCATCTGTACATTTTCTGAATCTCACTGTCACCGTGAAAAGGCCTTAGCACCTAAGTGTACTATAAGCCTACTGATTCCCATGCTTTTCTTCTTTACACGTCCTCTCATCCCTCTTCCTGCAAGAACTCTATCCCTTTCTCCCAGCTTCTATGCCTCTGCAAATTATGGAGGAGAACGAGGACTTTCACAAAGCCCTAGAAATGTTGGACTTCTTCTAGCGCCTTGGGCATCCGGAACATGCCTTATCTGCTTTCTTTCACCGGGCACTCTGTCCATCATGCTCAGGCTCTCGCTTCCAAGCCTAAACGACACCACAACAGACCCATTCTCACACTTACCTACCACCCTCACAACATCCGTGCTAAAAATATTCTCCTCAAATATCTCTACATCCTTAGGGCTGACCCTGCCAGCAGAAAGATTTTCTCTGAACCTTCCCTAATGGCCTACAGGCACGACCGTAATCTCAGGGACATTCTTATTAAGAGTCGGTTATTTCCTGCCTCAGAGCCCCACTTCAGGACTGTATCTTGCCACAGACCTGTATGATGGACCTGTCCATATGTGGTTCAGGGTACCAGCCTGGAATTCCAGAATGCCACCTTTCGCACAAGTTGTAACGTCATTTATGCAATCAACAGCAAGAGACGTGGTGTTAATTTCATTGGCGTAATGGGTTTACGACTGGCTGACAGGTTCAGACATATTTTGGATGGCAGAACGGTGCCCTCAAACCAGTACCATTGCATTTAAATTCTCAGGACCACCAAGGTGTCCATCAAATGGAGGTGGCAGCCATTAGTTCCAGCCACAGAGCTCACAAGTATCTTGAAAATCGCTTTACATCCACTTTGGGAACTCTGGCACCCAGTGGAACAAACTGCCAACACAGGTTCATCTAGAATCCTAGGGGACTGAACTGCCCACAATTTTCTCTTATTCTCCAGTTTCGGCCCCTGGCTTTCCCCTAGATATTTATTTTCCCCTTCCCACGTGTCCCGGCCAGTCTTCTGGCTAGACATCGACCTGGCTGCATCAAGATGTCTAATTTGTGTATGTGCTGATGAAGGCTCCATAGCTGCAATGTTCATGTTTTATTCTGTCTGTTTAATTGTGAAGCTTGCTGATATACTTTTTGTTCGAGTTTATATTTTTTCTTGCAACAGTGGAGAAATCACTGTAACATATTGGAGAATGTACTAAAAAATACTGAAGAATGTACTGAAACAGTGGAGAAATCAATGTAGCATACTGGAGAATGTACTGAAAAATAGTGGGAGTCGCCATGGTGTAGTGGCTAGACACTTGCCTGTGGATGGAAAGGTCATGGGTTCAGGTCCTGATGGGGGCCGGACTTTTCTCATAAATGACCTTGGCTCTCAGATCAACCCAGCCTTGAGTGGGTACCAGGTGCAATCCTGGGAAGTAAAGGTGGCTGGCACTATGCTGACCACATCACCCACCAAGTGCCGATTGGTCTATAAAATATAGGTTTAGCCCTATGTGCCTAAAGTTTTGGAAAAGGGTCCTTTACTTTACTGAAATATTGTGGAAAATGTATCGAAAAAAAGTTTAGATTGTACAGTAACAGCAGAGAATGCACTGAAACATGGTGGAAAAAGTACTAAAATATAGTGTAAAATATAGTGAAGGTTTAACTAAAATATTGAGAAGAATGTATTGAAACACAGTGCAGAATGTATTGAAGCACAGTAGAGATTGTCCTGTAACACAGTGGAGAAGGTACTGTAACACAGTAGAGAATGTCCTGTAACACAGTAGAGAATGTCCTGTAACACAGTAGAGAATGTCCTGTAACACAGTAGAGAATGTTATGTAACACAGTGAAGGTACTGTAACACGGTAGAGAATGTCCTGTAACATGGTGGAGAATTTACTGTAACACAGTAGAGAATGTCCTGTAACACAGTGGAGAATTTACTGTAACACAGTAGAGAATGTACTGTAACACAGTGGAGAAGGTACTGTAACACAGTGGAGAATGTACTGTAACACAGTAGAGAATGTACTGTAACACAGTAGAGACTGTACTGTAACACAGTAGAGATGTCCTGTAACACAGTGGAGAATGTCCTGTAACACAGTAGACTGTTTTGTAACACAGTCGAGACTGTATTGTGGAGAACAGTGGAGAATGTCCTGTAACACAGTAGAGACTGTACTGTAACACAGTAGAGAATGTCCTGCAACACAGTAGAGAATGTCCTGCAACACAGTAGAGACTGTCCTGTAACAGTGGAGAATGTCCTGTAACACAGTAGAGACTGTAATGTAACACAGTGGAGAAAGTACTGTAACACAGTGGAGAATGTCTTGTAAGACAGTGGAGAATGTCCTGTAACACAGTAGAGAATGTCCTGTAACAGTGGAGAATGTCCTGTAAGACAGTGCAGAATGTCTTGTAACACAGTAGACTGTACTGTAACACAGTGGAGAATGTCCTGCAACACAGTAGAGACTGTACTGTAACACAGTGGAGAATGTCCTGTAACACAGTAGAGACTGTACTGTAACACAGTGGAGAAGGTACTGTAACACAGTAGAGACTGTACTGTAACACAGTGGAGAAGGTACTGTAACACAGTGGAGAATGTACTGTAACACAGTGGAGACTATTCTGTAACACTGTTGAGAATGTACTGTAACACAGTGGAGACTGTAATGTAACACAGTGGAGAATGTACTGTAACACAGTAGAGACTGTACTGTAACACAGTAGAGAAGGTATTGTAACACAGTGGAGAAGGCACTGTAATACAGTTAAGAATGTACTGTAACTATTGCAGTCTGTTAGACATCATGATGCCTGTAAGTAGTGGTGATTTAAACAGATTATAAATTTTGTTGTTACTTCTTATTTTCCATTCTCAAGATGCACATAATGACATCAAAAGGGTTCTTTACTTTGCTTAGGTAACTACATGAAAAAAGTCTGACAGTGGTCTTATAAAGCTGACCCATTCCCATTCTGCTGATTTATTAATATTATTATAAAACAATAGTACCTGTTGGATGTGTATTTCTCTCGAAATATTGGTTAAGTATCTCTAGTGCTTGTGGAGTAAACGATGTCCGTCGTTTTCTCTTTTTACTAGGTTCGCTACCTATGAAGTCAGTGAGATTTTGAACTCCGTTTTTGTATCTCTCTTCAGCCTCAGCCATCCACCTCTCTAAGACTGGCTTGATCTTCTGGGCACTTTTAGGAGTGATGTCCAGTTTCTCAAACCTGCAGGAGATTCCAGCAAAATTAATGCCAAAAGTAATAGCAAACCAGAGAACTGTAGAACGTGTAATACCAGACAAGAAGAAAAGAATGCTGTTAGAAAAGATAACTTGAAGTTTGCAAAATCCCTGTCAAAAGAATGGTTTAAAAGTTAGTTGCATATCCTTTACAGACATTGCAGAATCAACCCCAGCATTTTTTGGCTGTTGTGGTTTTTCTAGTAAAATTTATGTCCAGTAGTTTGCCATTGCTTTCTGGACGGTCAGCTTCTCTATGTTCTGCAGCTGGCAAAGAACCTGGCACCCTGGCATTACAAAGCTCGTTCGCAATGCCAAAGCCAAGAAAAAGATAGTACTGTACTCATATTTACAACAAAGATATTTTTTTTTAAACCTTAAAGTGTAAACATTAAAAAAAAATTTTTTTTTTTTTTAAAAGCATTTAATGTGGGCATTTTTAACCTTTTTTCTTAGAATTCCTATTAAATAATATATCAGCCTATAGATTTTCATATTCTTACACAATTATAATAACAGTCTGCCTCTGAATTCCTATTTAGAAAAATTCATCAAACTAATGATTCCCAGGTTATTTTTGGTGACTGACATTTTACTATAACAATTATGTAAAAAATAAGAATCTAGCATTATATGCCCAATGCTGATATAAAAAGGGTCCTGTCATGTCTTTTTTTTAAATGACAAAGGTCATACAAAATACAGCAGACAAGATAAATCACTAATAAAAAACTTGCAAAACCTAGCACTAAAAAGAAAGTTGTATTACTTCAATATTAGGCAGTTTTTTTAAATAAGTGTTCAGTTTTCTCAGCACGTTTCAGACTGATATTCTTAACAGTATAGATGCATTCTAGACACTGCTGAATGTCTTGTGTTTTTATAAAAATCACTTTGGCTACCGAGGTGATCCAGATTAAAATAGGTACCAGGAAATCTTCTGCAAAGTAAAGGTGACCAGCATGATGCTAACATTTTATCAAATGCCAACTGTTTTAAATAAAATAATGTGCTAAGCCTAATACCCAATGGTTTCAAAAAAAAAACCTTTACGCGCGTGTGTGTGTGTGCTTTATTTTTAAAAAAAATTTTTTTTTTACAGTGCCACATCAGAGGCCAAACCTATACATCTGCAGACTGTTTGACATACACAAAAGTTGTAACTGCTTGATCAATTATGATGTAACAAATGGTGTTATTTTTCCTTTTAAATACTGCAATTATCACCATTTCCGGGGAGGTATAAACCCAGGCAATAAATGCCTGATGCTGGCTGTGTCGGCTGAAAATTGCAAATATTGCAACCATGCTGCAAATAGGCACAATGCATTTACATCCTTGGACGAATGCAGGTGCAGAAATCATCACTTTTATGTCCTTCTCTCCACTTTATGTACTTTGAATGTTTCCATCTTTAGTGGTGCGTGTGCGTGTGTGTGTGTGTGCGTGCGTGTGGTGATGATGATGATGTTGCATGCATTATCCTGCTGCCAAATACCTCTGTGTGACCAGGTTTCTCGGGTACTTATTCAATGATCATGGTATTCTATCCCACATTTCCATCTTGTGGTGGTAAGAAGCCTCATGAACTATGTCAGAAGTTAAATCAATACTACCGAAGTCTCCTAAGTCAGACAGCTTTGAGGTAAAGAGTGAACTGAGGCACACAATCTGTTGATTTTTGCAAGGTAGACTGGGAAAAGACTAAATAGAAATGTCTGTGATAACAGCATACATGGGGCTACAGGACTAACTATAATACAGTATCATTCACTTAATTGTGAAGCTATATGCTTAAAGTTAACATACTGTAAAAAAAAAGTCACTCAGGTGCACTGTGATATAAATCTCATTAACTTTGGATGTCCCCTGCAATTATTACTTCAACATTTTCATACTGTTTTTCATATTGAAAATACTTGAGTATATTAATTATAATACATCCATAAGACAGAACGAGTTAAAGCAATAAATACCTATATATGATTAACACAGCGAAGCAGGAGACAGACGTTGAGAATATACATTACGTATAGAGTAATTAATATACAATCATACTGTGAGTTACCAGGCAGTTCCTAGCCATCTGATTTTTCATCCACTTCTAGACTTTAGACTTATTCCAGAACTTGAGTTCTGAGCACTTATCCATTTTACATATCTTATTCATATGCAGACTGTTGGTTCTTCTCCTCTCAGGCAGATACACTTCAACTTAAAGGAAACACCCCTAATAAGTTTACTTTACAACATGCTTGTTCGGGGGCAGTGGATCTCCTCCGGGGGCATCATTGCACACGGCTATCCACCACAAGTGCTCTGCCGCCAAGTTTGGACAGCTGATTAAAAAAATGTCCACCTGTGTTGCCGTCTGCACGTAACTCTGTAGCTACAGCGATGTTCATACATTTACCCCAGGGTGTTAACTCTGGTACTCATTACCTAGTGGCTTGGTGAACTCTGGGAACTGCCCGGTTTCGAACACCGGCTGTGGGCTGCAGTGAGTTGCAGGTGGATTTGAAAGCTAGTCTTCTATCGACTGAGCTACCCCCCCCCCCCCCTTTCCTCTTTATGTTGTGTATGCCTCACATAATCAGCATTCTAATTTCTATACTTTTGAACTAACCTGCATATAGCAGACTGACTGTATGCTGGTCCCTCAGTGGCACTTAATGCTTGTCCCACCTGAGTTTGAGTAAGACCAAGTGACAAGCGTCGAATCTTGAACTGGCGAGCAAACTCCTTGATCTCGTCTAAATTGATGCCATCCACTGTTGTGCTTTCTGTAGAATTTCCAACAGTATCTAAAAACAGGAAATAAATAAAATAACTTGCCCTTACTATATACTGCTAACCCACCTAGCTCACAGTCAACCTATCCATCCTTATCCAAATCTTATACACCACACATATACACAACAGACATACAGATACCACATAGAGTACTGGGGATAAAACAAAATCAGTTTACACTGTATCACCCAAAGACAAATGCAACATGAAATGTACAAAGTGTTGAGTTAGAAATTCTGATTTTTTTTTTTTAATTATTTATTTTAAAATAAAGATTATTCATAGAAAAGATTGTAGTCAATGAACTTCAAAATGTTCTCATACTACATGTCCATTTGTGATCCAAATCCCTTTGTTCTGCTTCCCAAAGAGCTTATTTCATAAACCTTATTTATGCCATCATCTGCAAAACAATAAAGTAATGGGGAAACTTGTAGGAAGCTAGCAAATCATTTCCGTGAACAAGTTAAGGATATTTATTATAAGGCTCTCAAACTGGTCTCCTTTAATTTTAATAGTTCTGAACACCAAGGCCTAAGCGATATCTCAGTTACTGCTATAAAATCTTGCTCCGGTGATCAAACCAGCTACTTAGAAAATCATTTCATTCAGTTGTGGCATTCTATCTGGAGGGATTAATACTCAAAAGCTATATTTAATTTTATTAATTTATTTAACTTGTTTATATTTCCCCTTTTTTTTTGCTAAGATTCTTACTTATTTAGTTTCTGGATATAGTCATTAATGACCATATCAGTTGTCCCCCCCATTATGTACTTCTTGGATTTATGTTGACCTAGTTTGATTAGAAGCCCTATTGTGTTGTCTGTTGAGTTTTATAGTTTGTGGTTGGATTTAGTACTCTGTAGATAAAGAATTTAGTCAAAATGTTCGGTTGTATTTGTGCACATCTTTTCTATTCCCTCAATTTAGTACTTCAGATTCTTTGGTAAAAATGTTTGGTTCTAGTTTTGTGCATATTTTCTATTCCCTACAATGAGCTTTATAGTCAAATTTTATGTTATTTAGCATTCTTTTATATTAATTATGGGATCACTGCAAAAGTGAACGGAGGCCACTTACTATAACAAAGCCTATGATAAGATACCATAACATCTAGTCTGAGAATTGAGGTGGAGACAGTCACAGCAGCATTTTGCTACCTTGAGAACCACCTGCACACACATGTTGTGATTGTAACTCATAAAACATACTGATAAAGGCGGAGAAAGAAATACTCCATTCAGAGTGGCAAGCTTAACTTCAGAGGTCCTACTTACTTAGTCTAAATTGAATTTTTTCTATATATATATATATATATATATATATATATATATATATATATATATATATATATATATATATAATAGGAAGTAGCCACTGAATGTGGAGATGCTGTGCACTTAAAGGATATGCAAGACAGACATATAATGAAACTGCTACTGGTACCATCAGAATTGAAAGCTGGCTGCTGAAGATGAGGATATAGCGAGTAGGGTAATGATGTGAGTGCTGTGATACAGGTTCTTAACCCAACTCATTAAATTACAGGTTACAAGACAATAGCATGGTTATTATAATTTCTGTCACACACTGATGGTTTTTATTTGAAAAAATCCTTGTACACTTGCCTGTAAAAATATGGTCATGTGATCAATTTCCCATCTAATCAGTTTCTTTTTTTTTTATGACCAATGTGTTCAGGTTGACCCTGACTGGTGTAAAAATAAGAACTTAGAATCATGTACTAATGCATCTCATGCTAGTTAGTAGAAGTTTTTTTTTTTTTAAATACTTATTTTGATATGTTTTTTCACGTAGCCGCCAGGCCTGTTTAAGAAATTTAAAAAATAACAGAACAGACCCACTGCTCCCCCCCCCCCTCGAACAAGCATTTAAAAACATTTGATTAACTGAGGGTGTGCTGAAATCTGATATGTTAGGCCATAAGGGGCAGACAATGCAGCCTAGCTGTCAACGATTAAACTTGCCAACCGCTCATTTATACCATAACAAGATAAATATAAAATTGATATATAAGGTCTTGCACAATGTGTATGAGCATGTGTACATATGCAGTGCCATCAACCACACCTGCCTGCGTGTGCTCACACTCACACACACTCACAAGTATACACACATACGGATTAACTTCTGCACTTATACATAAATACTCATGCATGCAGACTGTATATTTGACATTTCATTTTCACTTAAATTTAGATATGTTATTTAAATAGTCTATTATGGCTAAAATGGGAAGAAAATATATTACGTGGCAAAAGCTGTGAGATATTTGGTGGAAGACCATTGGTCGAGGAAGATATATGAGCCTGTTGGGCCAGTTTTGAATTTGCATGTGAAACACTTGCAGCCACTGCCTGCGACAGTGTGTGCTGCAGAACCTGCTGGGCTGTGGCCGCTGCTGCATGGCTGGAAGCTATGCTTGATGCACTGGATGAGGAAGATGAATGATTGACAGAGATGGGTAAGGAAGCCAGCATCTGTTGGAGGAAGAATTATACCATCTCAGTTATAAGAAATAGATATAATTATGTAATGTAAACAAGCTTCTTTGACTTATTTTGTTTTAGCAGTAATTTACTTTACATAGTTGCACATCTTTTAATTTTTTTTCTTTCTATGCAAGTCTATTATTTCCATTTATTTTATATATAGCAAGGGTATAAAGTTAAACAATGACATATGGTGGAAATGTGACAGAAAAAAACAGCTTTATGCTAAATTATAATGTTTAAAAAAATAATGTAATCTGAAACATAAATAACACGATAAATATAAAAATCTGGTGACTAAAACATTGTGTGAGGTCTATTCTTCTGCAGGAGTGGGAATCTGAAAGAAGGACAGTGAGTTATGAAATGAGAAGCAAATGTATGACAAGATCACACTACTGAATAAAATGACTTTTAAAAATTAAAGAGGCAAATGGGTCTTCTACTTACTTTGGGAGTTTTGGGAGAAAAAAAAAGAATAGCTACACAGTCCCTTAACAAGCATGTTACAAAAGGCAACTATTTAAGAGCTGCAGAAATCAGACGTGTTTGGCTGAAATGTGCAGGTATCGCAGCCTAGCTGAAGAGATGGGGTGGATTGGAAAAACCAGTCTTATGCGAGAATTTACTAATCAAAGTTGTCTGAAAAATAAATTAGCGCAAAGCATGAGGTGCTAGCAACAAATAATAGCTTAAGAATTGTCAAGTTAATCAGACATATCTTGAAAAGCATAATCAGATTAGATAAGATAACAGAGAGGACAGGAGAAGCCTAATCAGATTAGACTGATAACAGAGAGGTCTGGAGAAGCATAATCAAACAGATTAGATAACGGAGAAGTCTGGAGCAGCATAATCAGACAGAATAGATAATGGAGAGGTCTGGAGAAGCATAAACAAACAGATGAGATAACGGAGAAGTCTGGAGAAGCATAATCAGACAGATTAAGTAGTGAAGAGGTCTGGAGAAGCATAATCAGACAGATTAGATAATGGAGAGCTATGGAGAAGCATAATCAGACAGATTAGATAATGGAGAGCTATGGAGAAGCATAATCAAGTGAAGCAAAAGATTTGTTTTTAATGCTTTACCCGAGGGATGGGGGTGGGGGGGGGGGGGGGGGGGAAACCACTTCTTCAGTGGAGAGCAACACAAGTCAGTCCTATTTGTTTTGATGACTTTGCAATATAGTGAAACACCAATCTGATTATGACGAAGACACAGTTCACATCTATCAGTTCCCTGGTTTGTTCACATTTATTAACACAAAATTCAAATTTTTCCATCTTTTGAAACTCATATTAACAATGTTTTTCTATACATTACTTATCTGAAAGATTACTTTTATTGTAATTTTCTTTCTAATAACTCCTTAGTTATGCATGTTGTATCCAGTCACTAAAATCTTTACACATCATTTCTAAAAAGGCGCCCCCTCGTGCAATTTTTTGTTATTTTGAAGCCACATCCTGGCTGCTGCTGCTGGGGGCCCTAATTTAATCTAACAGTTGAACAGGGTTTCCAGGACTTCTCCAGGGGTGATCATCCTTTGCATGGTGACACTTTGTGCCACTGGGTGTTCATCGCTCTGTGTGATGTCCCCATGGGGTAAAACCTATCTACCTATTTTTTTTCAGAAATTGTTTTCCCCCATCTAATACTGATGCCACAGTACTTCAAATAATTAGGAAGAAAAGGGTGGGGTGGGAGAGAGACAGAGAAGACAGAGAGAGAGACTTGCCTGAGGTGTGACCGCCAAAATCTGTCCCCCAGTTGCTGCAGTAAGAAGCTGTGGCAATGCAGCAAAATGGCCAGCTAATGTCTGGCTAGAGTGTGTGGTAACACTGTGAGACTCACGACTGGACTGTAAACTTGAAGCTGGGAAACAGAACACGTAGCTTTTTAAAATGTGCAATTCTATCACTTCCATAGCTAAAGATTCCTTATGTGAGTTCCAGTGCCACAATGTGGTTGGGAAAAAAAAAGTGGGGGGGGGGGGGGAGAGAGAGAGAGAGAGACTCATTGTCCCTCAGCAAACATGTAGAATAAAAAGCTGATTTTCAGATCTGTAGGGTCAAAAGGTGCAGATATTGCAAACTTCAACAAGGGGTCCCATCTGCCATTTTGAGAGTGAACACAGAAGAAAACAAACATTTAGATATTAAAATGTGCAACTGTATGAACTCTGTAGACACACAAAAGCGCAGAAAGCAGCCTAATAAAGGTAGTGGGTGATGCCATACCAAGCAGCAGTGACTTCAAACTGTTACTGAGCTAAGGGCTAGAGACAGCTTGCCAAAATGTTCATCATGTTGTTGACACACTAGGAATATTTAGACCACTGAGCCTTTCAGATGATTTTAGCAGGATTATAGTGGCTAATCTAGACACATGTAATGACATGGGAAATAAAAGTGGTCAGTATGATGCTGCTCCACAAAACTGAGTGAACAGTTCTGGTTGTACGTCCACCTCTTGACTTTAGCCTTGTTGCTTCAACAGAAGCATAAAATTAGTCAACTCTTATGACATGCTTGGGTCTATTCTTGTTTTCTCCACAATGGGACCCCAGAACCCACACAGGAAAATATGTCTAGCCTCATATGTCGGATGCACCTTTGGTCTTAAACGAGAATTGAAAACATGTCCCACCATACAATTCTCTGTACTACTAAATACAGCTACAGGGCCAAATCCACTTCAGGACATTACTTTCAGTATAATTGTTTCTGAAAGCCTGTGTTATCAAAAGTGAGTGACAATCAACCCTACCAGGGACATTCAACCCTACCAGGATCGCACGAGTGAATTAGACCCGGTGAAACAAAGTGACACCATTAGGATAAGAATTCCCCAAGTGCAAGTCCCAGAAACCCTGTTAAACCATTAGTTTATATTAGGGCCCCTAAAGACTAGGGTAGGGCTTTAAAATAACAAATAACGGTGTCCAACAGTGAGATGGATTTTGCTGATATTTAACTCCTCCTGGATATTTGCAACATGAGTATGTTAAAACAACCCTTGAAAGTTGCACATTACAAAGTGATTGCTGTACTAGACTGATACAATTTTACAAAAATGTAAATAGCTAAAAACAAAAGAATCACAATCAGCAAACAGGTTTTGACTCCTGAGGTGGAAATTTACAAGACAAAGCTCTTCTCACTGCATTCAGACAGTAGTACAAGAGTTGCACCGTGGAAGAGATTTGGGTCCCACTTTGTAATATTCCTAAAGACAGTGGTACAACACAGCCTGCCTCCATCATAGGGATGGCACTTTTTCCTTTATTTTAAAAGAACAAAGCATGTGGATCTTGAAAGTGAGAAAGAGGAAAGAGGTGGAATGGGGCAGGGAGGGGATGTCTTTTATGTTAAATACTATACCACTTTTATGGGTGGCATAGAGCAGATATCATAAAATCAACTGAAAAAGAAAATAGGATCTGATGGTGAGGCCATCAGGTCAGGTCAGGCAGATGATTATATTTTTTTAAATGGACAAGAACAATTCTATAGTAAGTATAAGTAGTAGAGCAGGGCTATTCAACTGGCGGCCCGCGGGCCAGATCTGGCCCACGAAGGCCTAGCAAGTGGCCCGTCGATCGTTGCCACTGAAATGTAGTATATATTTTTTTTAAATTTAATCAGTCAATGTTTCTGTATAAATCTTCAAAAAAACCAGTTGTGTCGACTGTGACAACAGGAAATGTTTGTCAGGGATCTCTAAATGCGAAGATACAAGGGAACAGGCGCATGAACAGACAATACCGCAACTGCGGGAATCTCTCAGGCATGGAAATGTAATTAGTTCACAACAAAAGTTACTTCAAATAGCAGAACTCACCTGTTTGGAGATAAAGGTAACAAGATAGGCTGGAAAGAATCAAGTAACTACGGTAGGCAGCAGTCGCTCAACTGGACAGTCAAGGAAGGTGAGATATTTATTGGACAGGAGGCGTATGGAGATACAAGCCCGGTCCAGATAGTTAGCGCTTAGATCACCGAGGAACTCATCCTAAAAGTTGACTACTAGTACACACAGACTAATGACAATGGATGCTGCAAAATATTAGTGACACTGGAAACGGCAGAATACCTGCTAGTGATCTTGTCAGATTATAATCAGATATTTCGTAAACGTCTAGTGTGCAAGTCACAGACAGACGTAGACTGCCGGATGCGATTGTGTAGTAACAAACTGAAACAGTAAGAAAGCTAAGTGGGAGTGTGAAAATTGTACGTTCAATGCCTCCTGTCCTGTGGACACTGAAATATTTATTTATATCACCAACTATGCCTAATTCGAAACCAATGTGCTTGATATGCAACAAATGTGTGTCGGCAGTAAAGGAGTACAACGTGAAGCGGCACTTCACAGCAAAACATGCTGACTTTGGAAAATCATATCCAGAAGGTTTCACTGCTAGGAAATCAAAGGTTGAGTCGTTAATTGCTGCTTATCAGCACAGCAGCAGAATGTTTGTGCGAGCTTATACTCAACAAGAAAAAGCTACAATGGCTTCTTTGCATGGTTCGTGGATATTAGCCAAAAAGAAGCAGCCTGACTCAAAAACCGTGAAAGAATGCATACTAGCAATTCTGGACGAAATAGAATTGATGATAAAATAAAAAACAAGCGTGGCACATGCAGTTCAGCAAATCCCTATGTCGGATACTTCAACGATAAGCAGAATTTAAATTTTAGGAACTGAAGTTTTTGAATAGTTAATTAAAAGCATAAAGCAGACATATTTTTTGTCAGTTGCCAATGAAGACTTCAATATCCCAAACAATGTAATGTTATTCATTCGAGATCCTTTTTAAAATCATTACTGCGGGTGATTTTTCTTTGAATGCTAAAAAGCTGCTATCCTCTGTTGGTGAAGGTTCTCTGTAGTTAGAACTTGTGGATATGCAAAGTTCCAGCGCACTGAATAAAGATTTTCAAGAAAGTGGTACCGTCAAATTTTGGTCCGAAACGATTCAACAGGAGCAGTTTCCTAATGCTAGAAAGGTTGCCGTATTCATACTCACCATGTCTGGTTCAACTTTCACTTGTGAATCAAGCTTTTCACATTTGAACACCATCAAGACAATTATTATGACAATGCAACTGAAGTGACGATGCTAACGTTCATTTATTATTTTAACAACAAGTTGGAAAAACGTTTATTTTAATTAAAAGTTAGTATTTTTTAATCATTAGAAATTATTGTAGTACATTTTACATTATAATGGTTTACGATACTGTTTCATTTATATTGCCGTAGGCTAGGCCCTAGGGCGAATAGGCGTAACAGTCTTAGAGGGTTTTTAGTTTACACATTGAGTTTTCTCAAATGTAGTGTTAATAATCTTCAAACACTTGGGCTCGGGCCACTGGCCCGCGACGATCCCCATTTTCAAGATTTTGGTCCGCGAGTAAACTTAGTTGAATAGCCCTGTGGTAGAGCATATAAGTAGCAGAGCATACAAGTAGTAGAGCGTAAAAGTAGTAGAGCGTATAAGTAGTAGAGCATAAGTAGTAAAGCATATAAGTAGTAGAGCATATAAGTAGTAGAGCATAAAAGTAGTAGAGCATACAAGTAGTAGAGCATATAAGTAGTAGAGCATATAAAAGTAGAGCATATAAGTAGTAGTGCACATAAGTAGTAAGTAGAGTACAAGTCTGGCTTAAGTGAGCTGAGACACTGTGAGACTCATGATCAGACTGTAAACTTATTAGAACATGTAGCTTTTAAAATGTGAAAATCTATCAACAAATAACACTCCTTATGTGAGTTACATTAGCCTGACTGCAGTCACCCCCATTTTCATCACTTTTTTTGTAAATATTCATTTGGGGCAGCCATTATAATTTATGCTACTTACAGACTACAACATTTAATACACTTACGCAAAAGAGATGTGTAAAGTAGTATTTATCACTTGGAGTCTACAGTGCACATTGTTAATGTGTTACACAAAATTTCTGACAGAAAGAAAAGGAGAAAGAAAGGAGAGGAGAGATACAGGAAGAAGAAGGTGGCAGGGGTGCGGGACACCCCAGGTGTCATTACTGTGGAGGGCGGGGTGTCGCCACCCCAGGAGTCATCACTTGGTGGGAGGGTGTGTGGGGCCAATCCAGAAGTCATTACTGTAGGGGTGGGGGGATGCAAATGTGTTTTTAAAATTATACGTATAGTTAATGACTATTAATGTAGCGACGGGGGCATGTTCTGCATAGGGTACCAGCTGAGCTTGCTATGCCAACAGTAAGAAGGTAAGGGGGAACGAGAAGAAACAAAATGGGCGAAAATAGCTAGCTCTCTCCGCATCCTCAATACCCACCCCACAAAGCAAATAATGAGATTGTGAGCCGCCTATCACTTGCCTGGCTCACCGATTGCCAGCACACATTTAAAACGATGGTAGCCCACAGTTTACCGACAATCAATAAACAGCGGTTTAACCAAAAATACTGTAATCACAAAAATCCCCAATGCTGAAAATCACAGGAAATTCTCCTTTTGTTATCTGTGTCCCGCATACGGTGTGTAAAGGTACAGGTGTTTCATCGTTTGTTTTTTCCAGACCTTTGAGAGGGATCTTACATTTCCCGACTGATTCCAGTTTAAGGGCACGCTACGAACCTTGTCCAAGTGTTTGTGGGTCTGACTGTATATTCTCTCTCCACCTCTTTTTTAAAGGAAAAGGAGGGGAAAAGAGGGGGGGGGGGGGGTGTCTGTCTCTTGCATAAAACTTTTAAAAGAAAATCATATTAATTCAATGTAAGATGTCAGGTAAAAATACTCACCAAGAGGCTGTGTAAGAGACTGCAAGCCAGACAGATTGGCAGCTAAGAACTGTCCCCCATTGCTGGTTGTAATCAACTGTATCTGCTGATTGCCTCCTGTTGCCAAAGACACTGGGATGCTGATGAACTGCTGTGTGCCATTCCCTGTGGGAGAATGATACAAATGTGATTCAGTCAATAGTTTCAAACACCAGTAAATGAGTTCTATGATGAATTCAGCACACAGAGTATGCCATGCATGAACTGTTACAATAGATAAGGTATAAGATTAGATCATATTCTTTCACTTTATATACAGGTACGTAAAAAATGTGTGTATGTGTCTATCATCATCATCCCATAACACTATGTGGTGTTGGGTCACCAGATTTTGTTGACTGTCTGACCAACTATACTTACAATGACACTGATTCAGCATGACATAATAGAGCTCTTCAAACACTATGCTGCCAAATGGTATGAATTGATAAAGCTCTATGTATGCTGTATCACTGGATTGAATTTATAGACTACATGCACTTTACCAAACAAGTATATTTTTATTTTTTTATTTGGATGCATGCATACATACATACTGAATATCACCATAAAGACGAATACAGCTATTATTTCAGATAGCATTCAGTTACATAAATTTCCTGGCAATAGTTAAGAATATACTGCCAATATATGCAGTTTTGAAGCAGGGGGTAAGAGTGGAGAGAGAAAGAATTAGTACAGAGTGATAAGAGTGAAGAGAAATAAGAGAACAAAGACAAAAGATTAAAACTTTCAAATTGTGGTCAGTGGTTACATTCATTCACACCAAATTTTTTTTTTTAAACACAGAAGCTTTGAAATTTGACTATGCTCATAGCCTTATATAAGGTAACATAACAAACAAAAAACAAAAGAAATACAAATAGGTCACCTGTCATTACTGCCAGTACAATTTTTTAGGGTATTGTACGACAGTAAGGCATGGTACCAGGAAGGAGGGGCAGGGGCTAACTTACATGAAGATGGGCACACGATATAAGTGACTCCTTAAGTATGAAAAGTATGTGGGGCGAAAGAGCTTGTGAAAGACCAAGTTTCTTTCAGGCAGACTGTGATGAAAGCAACGTTCTGCAAACGACCTGCTACATGATGACAACAAGAAGCCTGAGGATTTAGGCCTCTATGGCTAATGCAGTCCCAACAGACTGTATAGGTTACAAGTGGATTGTTTGCCCCTCTGACAGAAGTGGAGAAACAACTAGAACTTTCTGTAGGAGTTTACAGCCGGTGAGCATGAAGAAGAAGAAGACATAAACTGAATAGCAAAACTTATAATGACAATAAGAAATAGAAATGTGAGAGTATCTGTGCTAACGATAATGATCCTTCATTATATGATCCTTCATTATACTATCATCTTTAACATGTTTATTACAAGAACATCTACACCTGCTGTGAACAAACAAACTTTCCATAGACAGATATAATTTTCCATACCTGTGGACACTGGAATAAGAATCTGTTGGAGTGAAAGTGAGTGTCCAGCTGACTGCCCAGTTGATGCAGATGCTGATGGCTGACTAGCCAGAAAAAACTGAGATGCAACTTGAGGTTGACCTAACAGTTGGGTCTGGCTGGACAAGGATGATAATGCACCTGTAAAATCACATGTACAGATTTATCAATTACAAGCATACACTTGTGTACATACACTGCTCTAGACAAAAGTATAAGTGAAAATAATGGAAAGGAGCGAAAATAATGGAAAGGAGCAACTGTGTAGTTCACAAACTAAAGAACTTCATGTTTTCAACTGAAAATTATATTTTCCTTTGTTCCTTCACCGATCACGGATTTGGGACTATGACTTTAATGAGCAGCATGGATTTAAACTTTATTCTTCTTTATGTTCTGCCTGCAAAAGATTTTCAGTTGAGGAGGCCACAGGTCTCTATGAAGTCTTTGGTGTAATAACGCATGTCCTCCACTGTTCATTACAGCTTGGTTTCCACTGAATGCCAATAGGCCAAACCTAGTATCTCTCTACTGCATGTAGAGAGCATGTCTGTAGCACATGTTCAGTATTCTATGGTGCCTGTACAAATGGGCAATGTTCTGAATGACCACTCTAGAATTTTTTGTACATATGACTGCATGCCGAGTCTGCTGAGTCCAGTTGCTAGTTGTGTATCCTTTACAGGAAGTTGCAGAACCAACCCCAGCAATTTTTTTTGGCTGTTGTGGTTTTTCTAAGCAAGTTTACGTCCAGTAGTTTGCCACAGCTTTCTGGACAGTCAGCTTTTCGATACCACTGTCGAAACCAGCGTAAGACCCGCAGCTGGGATCCAACCCGGCACCCCGGCATTATAAAGCGTGTTTGCAACGCCTAAGCCACAGACACCGACACTGTGTCCAGTACACAATAGAAATGTGAGGAGGTTGACTGGTCTTCAGGATTGTGTTCTCAATGGGAAGTGGTCCTCTGGGTTCTGATGGCTGCCTTGTTATGAGTTTTATTTTGCTCTTTAGTGTATCCTGTATCTGGCTGTTCTATTTCAACTGTCAAAGTTAATAAAAGTCTGTCTGTTGGTATGAATCTGTGAATTAATTCCATGTTTGTTTTGTTGACCAGTTGCCACATTTTGCAACACAATTCAGAGAAATAGCTGCAGAATTTGCTGGTCTGGTAAAAATAAATTCAAGTGCATTTTAAACCAAATTAATATTTTGCAGTATTTTGATTGACAGGGTGAAGTCTCGTAAGTCACTCAGATCACGGACAGGATGGAGCCTGGTGACTGACAAACTAACCTTGTGAGTGATGAAGTGAAGCTGGCTGAGTATCAAAATCTAGTGAGTGTCAAAGTGTCTAGTGAGTGTCAAAGTCTAGCGAATGACAGTGAAGTCCAGTGAGTGACAGATCAGTCTGTGGGGTGAAGTCCAGTGGGTGATAGAATAGTCTAAAGAGTGACAAAGTGAAGTCTAGCGAATGACAGAATAGTCTGGGCAGTGAAGTCCAGTGAGTGACAGATCAGTCTGTGGGGTGAAGACCAGTGGGTGATAGAATAGTCTAAAGAGTGACAAAGTGAAGTCTTGAGAATGACAGAATAGTCTGGGCAGTGAAGTCTAGTGAGTGACAGATCAGTCTGTGGGGTGAAGTCCAGTGGGTGATAGAATAGTCTAAAGAGTGACAAAGTGAAGTCTTGAGAATGACAGAATAGTTTGGTGAATGAGTTATGTGAGTGAGAGAATAAACTGGTGGTGGACAGAAAGATTGGTGCACTTACAAAATACAGAATGGGGAATCAATATAATCTGAATAATGGGTATGAAGAGTGATGAGTGGAAGAGTGATGAGTGGCAGAGTGTAGACTGCTGAGCGAAAACTGATGAAGACTGGTAAGTGACATATGTGTGTACACTTAATGTGTAGAAACCTCTAACTTTCAGCATCTAAAGCGGGCGAATACACTCAGAGCTAGTTGTAAAATCATGAAGAGCAATTGACTATAAGCTACTTTTCTCTAAAAATGTCAAAATGCTTGAGCAGTAAATTACTGGTATGTATAAAGATGGGATGGGCAGGTGAACCGCCACCTGCCGTGCTGCATACAGGCCAGGGCTCAATCAGGTCAAGACCTGTTTATGCCTCCCTATGGTCATCTCAGGAACAGGTTCCCTCTAGGGGGTTTGGCTAATGTAGACAGGATCAATGTTCCCTTCAAAATATGAGTGCTTCTCACTGATAGGCCAGAAACCAACACTCTGGGTACAAAAAATAAACAGATATGTAAAACAGGTGTGCAGGCGACACTCAAGTCCTGGAACAAGACCAAAGTCTAGATGTAGATGAACAGCCGGGACTTTGTGCGAGAGGTCACAGCCGGCAAATGAAGAAGATGAAGACATAGTTTTATGAAGATGAATTTACACATCCTGGTACCATGCTGGTCGAATGTGTCAGCCAAAAAGTACATCTCTATTGCTATTATAGCTGGACAAAGGTACAATACAAACAAATGTTTATTAATGAAGAAAACTGATTAACATAATGAAGTCAGCTTTGTATATATGGAATTAATAAATCATAATTAAAATGAGGCCCTATAATATTCTATTAAAACTGACTTTGCTAAGCACATAACGACTAATTCTACTAAGCTTTAGTGAAGTCAAAGAAATTATTACTGGTTTCTTTTGTAAGTAAAATGTAAAAGATACTTGTCGATGTATTCAAGTGAATTGGGTACACAGTGTTAGACCTATACTTTATAGACCAAGTGGGACCCAATGGGTGATGTGGTCAACATCACGCCCGCTTCCTTACCTTCCCAAGAAGTCTTCTGTGTAGCGAGTTGGAAAAAAACTGAACTTAAAAGATCAGTTACACAAGACTAAGATCTAACTGTAAAAGATATATTATTTATAGCTGTAGTACTGTTTTGCATCAAATAATGGTGTGAAGATTTCTAAATACAAATTACCTAAATATTTAAATAACCTCAACAAAATTATAAGTTTCTCACTTGCTATATCAGATTTAGCAGCTTCAGTGGCCGATGGTGTGGTCGCAGTGTCTCCCACTGACGGCACAGACATAAAGAGTTGATCCGCCAAGCCAAGCGCACTGCTGGCCATTGACACATGTGGCAGCGACACTGAGGGCATGGTGAACACTGAAGACACAGGTGCCAATGGGGACTGGGTGCTGGTTGCTGATAACATAACATCCTGCAGGACAAAAAACAAAGGATTAAGCCTGTACGAAAATTTCATAGTCCACTACATATATGGTTAAATGGTGCTTGCCTGAAGCAAGTTAAAGAATTTCAATATCTAGAAAGTAAATTCTCAAAGATGGGAAAATAGATCGAGAAATAGAGACAAGACGCTAACGAACCAGTGAATTTATGTACAAGCTAACTCCTTTATTAAGACATCTGAACATTAGTGTTAGCGCAAAAAAACAGATCATAAACAGCATATTCATACCAAAGCCGTGCTACCAGTGCCAGACTTGGACATTTTCAAAGGCTAGGTAAAATTAACACCTGTGAAATCAGATGGCAAAGTTAGAAAAGATATAATCAGACAGACTTTGGGAACACCATGCAGCAAATTCACTGAGGAATAGAAGATCAAATGGATTGACTATCTACTAAAAATGCAACCAGAACAATTATCAATGCAGGCACTACACATGAAAAGATCTGATGTGAAAGCAAGAGGCTGCCCTGGGAGATAATGGACTGATGACATTAAAGAGCTGTATACATTGGCACCGAATAACAATATCCATATACTGCCTATCAAGCAATGGATCACAAACTGCTGCATTAGGGCTTTTTAATGCAGGACTGTGATTCACCGGTTAAAATAATTGGGGGTTGCATATACATTTAGAAACAGAAGTGTGTATAAGAACAGTTTTACTAATTATGTATTCCATAACAGAGGAGGTTCCCTCCCCCACTACCTCTCATCTCTCCAATACAACCTTGTATCTCTCCAACACAGCCTTTCATTCCTCCAATAAAACCTTTCTTCTCCCTATACAACTTACATCTCTCCAATGAAACCTTTTATCTCTCCAATACAAACTTTCATCTCTTCAACACAAACATTTCATCTCTCCAACACAACCTTTTATCTTTCCAAGACAACCTTTCATTTCTCCAATACAACGTTTCAACACTCCAACACAACCTTTTACCTCTTCAATAAAACCTTTCATCTCTCAAACACAACCTTGCATCTCTTCAACAGAACCTTTCATCTCATCAACACAAACTTGCATTTCTTCAAGACAACCTTTCATCTCATCAACACAAACTTGCATTTCTTCAAGACAACCTTTCATCTCTCCAACACAAACTTTCATCTCTTCAAGACAACCTTTCATCTCTCCAATACAAGCTTTTATTTCTTCAATATAACCATTTCTTCAATACAACCTTTCATTTCTCCAATTCAACTTTTCATCTCTTCAAAACAACCTTTTATCTCTCCAATACAACCATTCATCTCTCCAATAAACTTTTCATCTCTTTAACACAACTTTTCATCTCTCCAATACAACCTTTATCTCTTCAATACAACATTTTATCTTTCCAACATGACCTTTCACTTCTCTATAAAACCTTTCATCTCTCCAACACCATTTACTTCTCTATAAAATCTCCAATATCTTCAACAAAACCTTTTATCTCTCCAATTTAACCTTTCATCCCTTCAATAAAACCTTTCATTTTTCCAATATAACCTTTCACCTCTTCAAAACAACTTTTCACCTCTCATCTCTCTAATACAACCTTTAATCTCTCCTATACAACTGTTCATCTCTTTACTACAACCTTTTATCTCTCCAACACAACCTTACATCTCACCAATAAAACCTTTCACATCTCTATAAAACCTTTCATCTCCTCAAAACAACCTTTTACTTATCTTTCCTCTCCAACACAACCTTACATTTCTCTATAAAACCTTTCATCTCTCCAAAAAAAAACCTCACAAATCTCCAACAGAACCTCACAATCTTTCACTGCTCTATAAAAACTTTCATTTCTCCTGTAAACCTTTTTAGCTCTTTAATCCATTGTTTTATTTCTTTAATACAATCTTTTATCTCTCTAATCCAATTTTGTATCTTTCTAATACAACATTTCTCTCTCAAATACAAACTTTCATCTCTTCAATACAACCTCTCTTCTTTCCAGTCTAACGTTTCTTCTCATTAACACAACCTTTCATCTCTCCAATACAATATTTCATCTCTCCAATCCAACTTTCTGTCTCTCTAATCCAATCTTTCATCTCTCCAATATAACCTTTCATCTCTCCAATATAACATTTCACCCATCTCTCCAACATAGCGTTCATTCTCTTCACCGCAACCTTTCTTTTCTCTAACATAACCGTTTATCTATCTATTCCAACATTCCCTATTTCTAATACAACAGTTCATCTCTGCAATATAAACTTTCATCCATATAATGCAACCTTTCATCTATCCAATCCGCCCGGCTCTCTAGCGTAGTTGGCTATACCGGATTGCGTGGAGACCGAGTGACGAACTCCTTGTGGTCCGGGTTCAATCCCCACATTTCAACCAGATTTTACGGTATTTACAATGGAATCAAGGCCGAAAGGTTGCGATATCCATAATACCGAGCCTAAGGGTTAACAACTCATGGCTTCTGGATACTAAAACAAACAAACAATCTATCCAATCCAACCATTCTTGTCCCGGATACATTTTCTCCAACACTACCTTGCTCTCTTCTCTCCAATCCAATCTTGTCATCGCTCTAACACACCTTTCTCTCCAACAATACCTCAACTCCTCTCTCTAAACAAGACTGTCAACCATTCTCCATGTTTTCTAGTAACTGAGCAGGAGCTGGTCACAAATATTCGCTCATGTACGTACACACAACAGTATAAACATTCTATAACACAGTACTATCGGCACTCCCAGCACTACCTAAAAGGTTGAGTGGGTGCACAAATGTGACGATGATGATGTTGCACGTGTTCTTTGGAAACACTAACAAAGCACCGACGTAGAACCCGATCTTTCTGTCAACTGAGAAGTTCAAGGACATCTATTATTGAACGCCTTTTCTACCTAATGTCCATTGTGGCACGGTACGGGCTTCCACATTCGTGCCCAATCGATGCATTGACTCCATGTGTGTGCTAGCCCGATACGGGCATCCAATCGCAGGCGTCGTCATGATTGCTTTAACTCACGTGTGGACACACCGACTGAATCTGACGAAATCCTTCAATTGGGTGTCTGCATGTTTGTAATACAGAAGGGAAGAGTGGGGGCGGGGTGTCAAGCTATCTTGAAATTGAGTGCATTAGTATTTGTAATAACCCAGTAAATTATTTTATTCAGTTTAATTATAAATAAAATTATAAAATAGTTTTTAAAACTATATATATCAGAAAAAGCCAAGACCATTGGGAGAGGGGGATTCCAAAGCATTTTGTATATCTGTAGTTAAAATTCTAATTAATATAACACATTCATTTCTAGATGTTTGTTTGTTTGTTTTAGTATCCAGAAGCCATGAGTTGTTAATCCTTAGGCTCGGTATTATGGATATCGCAACCTTTCGGCCTTGATTCCATTGTAAATACCGTAAATCTGGGAGAAAATGTGGCTTTTCTGGCTACCCCCGGGAGTGAACCCGGACCACATGGAGTTCGTCACCCGGTCTCCGCGCAATCCGGTTTAGCCAACTACGCTAGAGAGCCGGGCTCACTTATAAAAAAATGTATATATTTATATATATACACACACATTTACGTGGGTGGGGGTGGAAAAGAGAGGGGGGAGTGGCGCGGATACATAGGGCAGCAGTTCGATGTAAAAACACCCGGTGTTACCTAATCAATGGTATATAATTTATACATATTACTTGCTGCTCAAAATCTTTCTAGTAAACTTTTCCATCTAGCCTCTCTCTCTCTCTCTCTCTCTCTCTCTCTCTCTCTCTCTCACACATATCTCTCTCTCTCTGGTCTCTCTCTAATCCTTCTGCAGCACCCTCTCAGCTGTAGCTATATTAAAACGTAATAGTAATATTTGCTCCAGTGATCCCTGACGATTATTAGTCTTAGTCTGTTTGTCAATAATAAAGATCCCTTTAGGCGCATCGGGCATATGAGAAGAGCACCCATATTTTTACAGACAAATCGTCACTAGGTGGGTAATGTGGTCAGCAGTACGCCGGCCGTCTCTAGTTCCCCAGAACATACATCCTGACATTCTGATACCCATTTTAGGTTTGGTCGACCTGCCTCATAATATGATAACAATCCAAGCAACCAGCAGTAAGCTTCGATCGCGGTACGTTGGAATTACGAGTCGGTCTAGCAACGCCTAAGCCAATTTACACATAATCGATGCACCTTCTCGGCCCCCCCCCCCCCCCCCCTTTCTCGCCTTTGTTTGTTAATAATATAATTATATCGGTTTATCCAAGTCTGGCGCGAGCAAATAAATAACACACAATCGCACGCAACAGTAACCACCAAGCAGGTGCACAAACAACTATTGTCAATGCAACAACACACATCAGCAGAATCAACAAGTAAAAGTAAAGGACCATTTCCACGCCTTGAGGCGTATTGGGCATATAGGGCTAGACCTATATTTTATAGACCAATCGGCACTTGGAGGGTGATGTGGTTAACACCACAACGGCTGCCTTTACTTCACAGGACAGCACCTGGGACCCACTCAAAGATGGGTCGACCTGGGAGCCGAGGTCGTTTGTGGAAAAAGGCACGGCTCCACCAGGACTCAAATTAACGACCTCCCGATCCGCAGACGAGCGTCGATCAGAAAAATCACTGATAAGAAAACCGCCATTAAGAACATTAGTCTGTTCCTCTTCTGTCTTTGATATCCTACTGAATCAGTTTCTCAACTATCTCATGCCTAATGCCTGGGAGTTTGTAGACTTTTCAAGATACTGTGGATGTGGATTTTGCAGCTAAAATTTTTCTACTGGATGAAGTAGCTTGTCTCACACCAACCCCCCTAGTCATCTCTTATGACATGCATGGTGGCTTACTATTTTTTACTTCTCTTTTGTGCGCCAGTAACACGTGGGCGAAAACGTTGGTTTTAAAAGTTGAAACACATTGTTGTTCACCGGCTGTAAAGTCCAGAGGAAGGTTCTGGGGCCTCGGAACCCACAAGGGGGCATTGG